AAAAAGTAGGGTTAAATTTCATCTACAGTCAATAGCAAAACAAAAGAAGATCCAGGTAGGTACTATATTTTTTGTTTTTCGTGTTTGTTTATTATTATAAAAGTAACTAAAATGTAAAAATTAGAAACTTTTTAGGTTAGATTAGGTAAAATAATAAAAAATTTCCACAAGGTTCAATTGCTAGCAACTTGTGAGGAGCCCGTGTGTTACGTAATTTGATAGGGTAATGTGAACTACATGTTCGCCAAGTGATTTACAACTTGTATGGTGAGAATATTAGTTAGACATGGTTCAAGAAGCAATAAAACTTAAGTAGAAACAGATGTATACTGTTACAAGGTTTAAGCTATTTAGGATAAACAAATGTAGTTATTTAGGAAGTTTTAGATATTACATAAATGAAATTTTATGATTTGGAGATGAAGAAAAGTATTTTTAATCTTAACATGAAAATCACTTTGCACTTAGAACAGTCAATTTTTTTTACTCCATATATCATGGAGAAATTTTTAGTGGAAATGCTTGTTTGAAAATTGGACCAACTATTTGTTGGAGAGGGAGTGTTGATTAAAATTCTGTATTTACTATGTGTGTCTATACAAAATATGTAAGTCTATTGTACACGAAAAATCAAATGTGTTATAAAAGTATTTGTACTCAAGATATGTCTGTGTACTAATGTCAGTCTGATTCTAACTGAAAAGTCTTAAGTGTAAGTTGATGTTCACGTGAAGATTAAAAATACTTTTTTTTCCATTGTACAGTTTGTATGTGCATAACCTCTAGGACCTCCAAAATGCATGTGTACAGTTTTTTTTGTACTCCTGTATATTGTTTATGGTATTTTATTTTCTCCCCCACAAACTGTCCTTAAATCAGCAATGTAGGGTATAATGAATAGTTAATAACTGTAACATCTAATACGTATTATCATGCTTAATGGAACTCTGTGAAAGGTAGTGGGATGCACACATTGACCCTTTCTGGTGCACATAAAGTTAATGGGCTCTGACTTGAATTTATAAGATGAAACTTGTGTTGATTCATCCTAAACCTTGAATTTTCTCTTTGTCCAATGTAATTTTTGCCACATGCTATATCATTATCAACATATAACTAAAATTTCTAGACTGCAAAAGAAAGATATTTTAATTCGAAACATAATCATTTCAGCTGTGTTTCTAATGATATTAGTATTGGTTATATAATCTGGATTACAGAGTTGGCATCATAAGTTCTTACAGTGAGTTACACCTTGTCTATTTCTAATATTTTGTTTATAGGTTGTCCATAAGCTACAACAACATAATATTACCTACAGCTTTTCTAATAGTGTTAGATGTACAGAAGGTGATCAGATTCTTGCACTCTTTAATAATGTAACTTTGAGGTGTATTTATTAATGACTGAACACTTCTATTTGTTTTTTAGCTTTTGAAACATATAATTTGGAATGAAGTATACAAATGTCAATTAGATCACCTGGATAATCTCTATTTAAAATAAACATTTGTAATTCATTTAATCTGACACTTTTTTTAATGTTTGCAATCTGTACTATTCTTTTTGCTAACATATTTAGGATATTTCTTTTGATGTGTCTGTGCTGGTTTCTTCTAACATCTAAATAAGTATGGAAATTGATCAGTATCTAAAGAGTCATTGTCAGATATTTCCATCCATGTATCCAAGACATTTGTATTTTCATAAGCCCTTTCAAAAGTAAATTGTTTGGATCTATATCATTTACAACTTGACTGAAGTTAAACCATTTTAAATCCAACAATCATCAGTGTATCAGCCAATATAACAGCACAAAAGGGCTAACATAATTTCATTATTTTATCAACAATGGTATACAACTTCTCTGTTAGGAAGCCCATTATTTAAATAGCATATAGGTAAGTGCCATGTAATTTCATTATTTTATCAACAATGGTATACAACTTCTCTGTTAGGAAGCCCATTATTTAAATAGCATATAGGTAAGTGCCATTTTTGTACCCATGGTAGTAGTATTTAAAATGTTTGAGAGAAAAAAACTGGAGAAACATGCTTAGTTGAAAAAAAAAATTTTTGAGATTGTATAAGGCTAATAATTTTCCCAAATTTATAGAGAATATTTATCTCAAGATTCACCATTTGTTCCAAAAAAGTTTCAAGAAAGTATCATCTCATCAGTAAGTAAGAAAGGAACTTGAAATTCAAAAATTAAGATTGAAGTAAAAGCATTAGAAATTCAAGCAAGTTACTACTTTAGCAGAAGTACAGAAGATTAATTGTATGGTGATTGCAAGTATTTTAGCAAAAAGCAAACAAAACCAAGCTGAATACTTCATAAGAAAATGAAATGAAAATTGTAAGGAAGAAGAAGAATAAAGTAAGACAATTTGGGATAAAAAACAAGATTTATTTAAACATGTAAAAATTATGCCGAAGAATATAACCCTGAAGAATATGAAACGGTCAGTATTGAATATTTTTGTCTCTGCCCTTTTTAAGAATATAGAAGAGGAACAAGCAGATATTACCCCATTATGGAAGTTAGAAAATGGAGAGGCGTATGAAGTCAAGGAAGTTACAAGAAACCGTCCAAAAACGTATATTGGCAACAACATTATAACAACCCATACTACCATTTTAATAACCATTCTCAGAGAAGTAGCTCCAAAAGTGGGAAAACAAAAGCATTCAAAAAACTTGTAAAGCCAGTTTAGGAATGATCAAACCAATTAACAGATAATGAAGAATGCACCAGTAGCAGTAGTGTTCACCAAGTTCTCAACCTTATTGTGTTAAATATCTCTAATATTTGGTTTACAAATAATTAAATATTTTTATTAGAAAGGGTTTATCTTATTTCTCATCAGCAAACTAATCACTTACAAATAGAACAAGAAGTGAATGTTTACCATTATTAATCAAATAATGAAGTCAAATGTTAACTCTTATGTGATGTCACATTGGCTCAAATACATTGATGATTGTTGTATTATTTGGAAAAAAGATTTAAGCTGGTTAAGTTTTAGTCAACTTTTAAGTGATCTAGGTCCAAACATTAAATTTATTGTTGAAAAGGCTTATAAAACTATACATTTGTGGATATATTGATTGAAATATCTGACAATGGCTCTTTAGACACTGATGTCTTTTATAAACTGACCAACTCCCATGCTTATTTAGACGTTAGGAGTAACCATCCTTGAAGTATCAGATTAAATGAATTAAATGTTTTTATTAAATAGAAGTTGTTGTATATTTCATGCCAAATTTTATGAGTCAAAAGTTAATAATCAGTCAAAAGTGTTATTACATATACCAAGGGTTGTGTGTTAAAATTACGAGTGCAAGACTTTAAATGCCATAAGTAATATCAATGTTATTGTAGTTTATAGGAAAATCTAAAAACATAACTGTTCACCTTGTTATAAGCAAAATACTAAAAATAGACCAGGTGTTACTCATTGTACAAACTTAAGATGTCAGCTGTGTAATCTAGGTTATATTACCAGTACTAATATCATTAGAAACACAGATGGAACTTTATATCTTTCTCTTGCATTCTAGAAACTGTATTTATATATTACAATGTACAATATGCAGTGAAAGTTATGTTTGCCAAACAGAAACCTTAAGATTTAGAATGAATCAACACAAGTTTCATATCAGAAATTTAAGTGAGAGTCCACTTAGATGCTCAAAACATTTTTACCCATAACTTACTATAAAAACCTTTCGTTTTTTGTTTTCCATAAAAGTTATTTAAATATTTTGTGGATTTTTTATATTTTTAAATCATGGTTTATTATTTCCAAGTTTTAATTGTTTATGGATTTTTATAAAATAAATTAATTTATTTTAGAATATTTTTAATGGAATAAATGTGTGTGTGTTTTGACTTTGTTAAAAATTATATATATTTTATGTATTATTTTTAATTAGGTTGGATGAAGAACAATGTTAAATATGCAAAACTGCCACCAACTAAATAAATACAAATGATATTTCAAACATGATGGTGCTTGAATATGTGTATATTACTTATGCTGTAGAAGATTGCACCCTGCCCACCAGTGGTGGAGCTATATGTCTGTGGACATACAATGCTAGAAATCGGCTTTCGATACCTGTGGTTGGTGGAGCGGTATGTCTGTGGACTTACAATACAAGAAACCGGGTTTCAATACCTGTGGTGGACAGAGCACAGATAGCCCATTGTGCAGTTTTGTGCTTAACTTAAAAAAAACAACAGATTACACCCATTTATATATATATATATATGTATATATACTTTTTTACATATCATGCTTGTAAGTGTTGACAGTACCAAGTTAATTATAAAAACCTGTTAATTTTATTATGTATTTATGAATAAGCTTTCTTGCTTTCTTTGGTAAAATGATTTCACAAAAAATTCCTATTAATTTCTTGTCTGTTTCAGTGATGCTGTTTCCTGTAACAAAGCTGTTAGAAAATCGTTGCCTTCCAGTAAGAGAGAATCCTGTTCATCTAGAGGTATGATGTTCTATGCAAAGCTTGCTGGATTGAGTTAATTCTCTCTGGTACACTCGTGTTAAAAAGAAGAAACGTTTTTATTGCAGGAAAATGTTTTAGGATTTAAGCTTAAAATCAATTCTAATTTTTAAATAGCATAAAATGAATAGTATAGTACACATTCATGTTTTTATGTTTCTGTTGATAGTTTCATTTAGTGAAGGTAAGACTCAATTCTGAGATATTTCACCACATTTTTGTTTTTAGGCCTACTTCAAGCAAGTGCAGATATTAAACTGTCAGCTTGTGGAACTTAAGTGCTATTTTAAGAATTCATCCAAAAATTAGACTGTAATATATAAGTACAAAGCAAAGAAACTAAATTAACAGAACATCCAAAATAGTAGTTTTAGGTTACTTGTTAAAAGATATGATACAGTAACTTCAAGTGATTATTTTATCAAGAGTTGTAATAAAAATAAAGTATGCATTATCAAAAGTGCATCATAAATAAATTTTTGAAGAAAAGAATTTTTTTATAATAAGGTTTCTACTTAAGAAAATCATTACTGTATTTGCCCCTTTAAGTGCCCAACCTCTATAAATTTTGAGAAGGTACTCTCCCTCCTCTCACAAGATTAGCTTTTCTCATTTTGTGCTGCCCTCTGTATGCAAACTTTTTCAGAAATGCATGCCACAAGCCTTCATCATCCCTCTTTTGGAATCCAAAGTTCCAACACATCTTTCATGTAAATCAACATGCATCACCTCTCCACCAATAGGTGAACACTACTATCACGTGACGTATGTGACTCCCTCTATGTGCCACTATCATACTATCCCTTTTCATTTGGCAGCTGTCAAGTTCAAACGTTTTTTCTTGCATTGTTCAGTTACCTTGAAGTGGTTTGATTTAAATTTTTTTATATTTTTCTTACCTTTATTTACTACACTTCACAGTTGTGGAGTTAATGTTTTTATTAAAACATTACTTCCTCATGTTTGCCACTTATGGATTCCAAAGTTACAATCACTATTTCGGGTACTTCGCCTGCATCTGATGCAGTATTTTCACCCACGGGTGCAGGGAGATATGTCATTGCTCACTCACCAAGAGATTCAGGGGTATATGAGCCAACCTCTCTTGCCTGCTTCTGCCCCACTTTCTCCTGAGCCTTTTGAGCTGAGCTGAGGGTGTTAGTATGCATTGCCTTGTACCCCATAGACTTCAGATCAGTCCTCCCTTGCTTATCATCAGGTGGACTTTCCCTTTCTTGACCAACAATTGATGTGGTCGGATTCTACCCGTTTGAGGGGCAAACCCAGATTACCCTGTCTATCTTACCCAAGCCCAATTTTCTCGCCTTTGTCTCAGTGTCATGACCCCGTTAAGGTACCTTTCCTACCTTCAACTTCTGTCAGAGGCTCTTCACAGGAACTCTGAGAGGTTTTCTGCTGAAATCCTCTCCATCCTTACTTCTAAGTTGGCTCATCTGTCATCTTCGGCTCTCGTGCTTCAGAAATGGTTTGCTTGTTGTTGGGACCTCTTATGCCATCAACATATTACCCTTACTAACTTAGTAGCTGCACTGATTCCTGTCTTCAACCTCTTCCTGTTCCACCCTTCTGCAATGCCAATGTTAGACTAATTACTTGATGATGCATGATCTGCCAGCAGCAGTACCAGTGACTATGTAGTTGGTTCAAGCCCAGTGAAGGCTCATCTCTTGAATTTCGTTCATCAGTGGGGATCTTTTCTTGTCAATGTCTGGGTTCACAGAGTGCTTTTGGAGGGATGCATTATCCCCTTCCTCTCCCTTTCTTCCTTATCCAGTGTTCCCATTACCTTCCCTTCTCCTCAGGATTCCTCTACATGCCAGTGTGTGTCAGAGGCGGTTCAGGACCTCATCACACAACAGGCTATTCAAACAGCTCCACAAAGTTCATGGGGATTTTACTCCCACCTGTTTGTGGTTCCCAAGAAGACCAGGGACTGGCATCCTGTCATCAATTTATCCTGTCTCAATTAGTATGCTCACACTCCTTGCTTTACCATGGAGACATACCTCTCTCTTTGGTGGGTATTTTTTTCAGGTCTTTGGATGACAAAGGTGGATGTTTCCAACACTTACACATTTGTGTGGCAGAGAGTTCACGTCCATATCTTAACTTTATCCATCTGGGGGTCATATACCAATTTTACAGCTTACCTTTCGGCCTAGCCTCAGCACCATACATGTTTTGTCTTGTGGTCCATGCCTTTGCTCAGCATATTCATGCCATGGGGTTGTGCTTCCATGGTTTTGGAGATCAAGTGAACCCATCACATAAGTCTTCATACAGGTTTTGGGTTGTCCATCTTACCCTTTCAACTTGTGTTGTGGGTCACAGAAGGTCTACATGGCTTGTTTCTGCTTCTGTCATGAGTTTCCCTTATTTGGTGATGAGGTTATTTCAGGTTAGTTTCACGGTTGCGGGGGTTGAATGCTTGCAATGGACTTCCCTCATATTCTTGGATCCCTGGCATTAGGCTACCTTGTGAGTTTCTGTAGTCGAATGATAGGTTTCCTTATGACCCTGAGGTGAAGACAGTATGATCTTCATCCTACCCTCGCAAGGATGTTGGTACCCAGTGAGTGAGGTTTTGGATGTAGTTGACTTACCGAGTATGGTCAATTGTGCCCTAGCCAATCTACACCATGGGATACATCCTCACTTGCCCACTTTTCATCGTGGGATTAAGTGCTTCTAATTTCTGTTTAAGATCACATTGCTAAGCTATCCTCTTCCATGTGGATGTGTTCCCTTCATGTTCCACCATGTCTGGTCTTCCTTATCATGTCGATGTTCTTGACAAAGAGATACATGGCTCAGATGTGGTGCTGTGCCCCTCCTCAGATCATCTGATCTCTTCCTCTCATTTCAGGGGTGTCCTTCTGATGCTTCCAGAGGATATGTCTTCCCTCGTACAGGTTCCTCCTCCATTTCAATGTCAGATTCAAGCTAATCTTGTGAACAGAAGAAGAGTACCTTATTGGAAGTTTTAATTTTCCTAAGTGAAAATGTATTTCCTATAGGTACTTCCCTCCACTTGCACTTCTAACCCATCCTCTCCACAATCTTCTGGTGCTTGCATCTTCTGCCAAACTTTGAAGTGATAGTTTGGTAGTAGTGCCTAGAGGAAGTCACATGCATCACCTGATAGTAGTGCTGTCGTATTGGTGGAGAGGTGACGCATGATTATTTGCATGAGAGACGTGTTGGAACTTTGGATTCTAAAAGAGGGATGATGAAGGCTTGTGGCATGCATTTCTGAAAATTTTTGCATACAGAGGGCAGCACAAAATGAGTAAAGCCAGTCTTGCAAGAAGAGGGAAGTACCTATCGAAAATACATTTTCACTTAGGAAAATTATAACTTACCCCTCCCACTATTTTGTGAGAAATTATAAATCCTAGTTGGCCATGAGATACATATGTGGCAGGATTTGTCTTTAGTACCAAAAAATATATATGGGTTTATGTCATTACTTATGGAAAAAGAATGTTGATTATAATTCCGAATTTACTATGTGTATCTACACAAAATATGGCAAGCTTTTAGTAAAATATACAAATCTGTTGTACGCAAAGATCAGATGTGGTACCCAAGATTTGTTTGTGAATTGACAATGTGATTCTGACTCAGAACTCTGACAATTCAGAGTACAGGGTGATATTCATATGAAGAATTAAAGTACTTTTGTCTGTTATACTGTTTTCATATTGCATTTGCATAACCTCTAGAACATTCAAAATGTATATCTACAGATTTTTCAGTATCCCTGTATATTGCATCTGGTATTTACTTTTCTCTACCATGAATTTCACTAAATCAGCAATAAAATGAATAATTGCTAACTGACATCAAATACATAATACCATATTGAATGGTGCTCTGTAAAATGCTAAGGCATGTACACTTTGACCCCCACCTGTGCACATAGGGTTAAGTGGGCAAATATAACACTTTTAAAACCTGACTAACAATTATCTCTGATCTCAGTCCTCTAAATCACACTGAAGATTATGCATTACAATACAGAAGGCAAAAAAAATATTTTCATTATCACACATTTCTTGCATGCATGAACAGTTACACAGTTTACCTATGTTTAATTTGGATATTATACAAAGAAAGAAGAGTCAACTGTGATGTTGCTCATTTTTTATCACTGAATATTGACTAGGTTTTCTATTTTCCATCAGAGTAACTTATTTGTAGTGGAGCAAGTTCTTTTTATAGTGACTATTAATAGCATTTATAGCTACATATTAATATTTACATAACAGAGGTTCCTGCAATTTGATACTGCAGTGTGATAATTCGAAATGGAGCATTTTTGCCTTCAGTACAGTTTCTTATGTACTGCTCTCTTTATTCTCTTTGTACATCTACTTGTTAGAGGGTGTAACAAATTGTACATGTCATTCTGTATGTGATTTTCTTTACAAGCTTTACATTTGTTCTGATTTCCAGGACATGATTGTGAATCAGTGCTGATTTTATGAAGAGATCAGTCGGGTGTAATCTCGTTTTCAGCTGTTTTTTAGGCAAGTAGTTTTTCATGAAAGTTACTTGGATTTTCCACTGATTTTATGTGAAATGAAAGATAATACAAGCATTTAGAAAATTTGTTTTGGCCATTTTTGGTTTTAACCTTAACTAAAGATTTATTAAGGTTAAGGATAGTTGATGGGTTAGTGTAAACTTTTGATTCATAACTTTGGTCTGAAGATGGACCTTGAGTTCTTCGGGACTCAGAGAATTCTGGTTTTACACTTGCTTGAAAACCTTGAAAGTGCCCTGCCCTTCCTCTTAAGTCAAGGCTTTGAAAACCTTGAAAAGCATACCTTTTATTGCTGAAGTTTTGGAAAAGTGTAAATTCTGGTAAAAATACAATATTGATAACTCTATCTCCTCTTTTAGAAAATCTGTTGCTATTAAAAAAAACTTTATCATATTGGTTTTCAAAATATTTC